GCCCCCATAAGGGAAAACTCTATTTTATAAAAATCGGTGATAGCTATGCAAAAACTCTTGTATTTTGTTTGGATACTTATGGTTACAGTTAGGGCAGGGTAGGGGTTGAGGTTGTCATAGTTAGCGTTAGCATTCTTCCCATAGAAATGAATGAGCAGTCCCCATAAGGATAGGTACACACACACACACATTATAACATTATATATATATATATATATATATACATACATACATACATACATACACACACTCAGAAACACATTATAACATTATATACACACACACACACACATTATATCTATATACATATAGTGCGATGTATTCATTGCTGTTGTGATCAACTGGAGCAAATACATGCTGCCTTTTTCAAAAATGACGTCATTACTTGAGGAGCACAAGTAATTTAGTAACTGAGTAGTAACTACTCAAGTACAAATCATGAACAAATATAGTCACTGCATGACATACATGAACCATTATGATTTATTAATGATGAATAAATGTGGGAGTTTCTGGTTAATTAATACATTAAGTAAGTGTGTGCTGCTACATTGTGTCCCCTCAAGTAAAATGTTACCAAAAAAACTAAGCAACATAATTTGTGGCAGCTCTCAAAGGGCTTGTATTGAAACAGAAATTATCAGGTTAGTGTAAACAGTTGCTTTTACAATAATTAGCATAACATGTTGTTTTGATAAGAAATTAGAAATCGTACAACAAAATCTCCCTGCAATTCTGACTAGGATAACTTGTTAGAGTATGGATAGATGGATGGATGGATGGATGGATGGATGACTTGATGGATGAATGGATGGATGGGTGGATGGACAACAAAATCTATGAGACTTGTCTGTGTAACAACCCAAAGTTTAAACATGTAATACAATATGAACACTGCCTGGCTGAAAGTTGTCTCTGGCCCTGAGGGCTGTGGGTGTCAAGCCAGAGCCACAAGCTTAATGGACTGTCCTCCATTTTATCATGCAAATGAAGGTAATGAAAAAATAAAAGGCTGCAGTGCCTCCCAGTCAGAAAAGGACAGATTAAGTGATGATAAATGGGGTGTAGCTTTCCCCCTTCCACGTAATCCAGTGCCCAAAAAGGACACAATGCATTTTGATACACTAAGGGAAGCATTTCATACGTATCAGAGGTATTTTCCATATCTGCTGGGTACATCTCAGCAGTATTATGTGCAAATAGAGACCACATCCCTCCAATACATCCCTCCATCATCAAGGCTGTCAACACCATGTGCGCGGCTGCCTAAAAAAAGATAAAATAATTACATATCTTAAATATTTTACGTGATTTTCATCACTCTTCCTGTCTAACTGCAGAACAAAGATGCCACGAGGTTCTCTTCACTGACATCTGCTGGTAGATTGTGGTAACGCACGAATGTCACACCGTTCTCTTCTATAATTAAGCCTTTCAAGAGTGAACAGTCAGCCACATGGAAAGGTGAGTTTCATTTCTTCAACATCAAACTGAATCCTACCCAAAATGATAATAACAATTATCCATTAATTAGAATATGATTGCAATGTTTTTATGAGCAGACTGACGTAAAATGGCCTGCTTCTCACGTTCCATTATTTTAGACATATAAACTGCATTTAATACTCCATAGGCAACCCTGCTGGCCTGTGTCACACAGTAGAATCCAATGCATCCAGCAGAGCTGTATTTGATCTCAAAGTCACCCAGACACACAACCATTGAAATGAACGAGCGCCAATCAGGAGCCCATAGCAGCATGAACACACAGGAAGGCCAAGCTTGCTCCCAGGTTTACATTTACATATTTAGCATTATGCTTTGGACAAAAATGATGTAAAAGTGTGGCAAGTAGTACCTTACAAACACAGGTCATGGAGTCAACTAGGCATTAGTGCAGCTAGGCTGAGCTTCCAATGAATGTCCAGGTACAAGCGTAAGAAAGAGCAGGAGCTGCACAGCAGGTGATTAAAACATTTAAAGTACCATCCATCCATCCATCCATCCATCATATGATTATCCCGGTCAGTGTTGTGGAGTCCAAAGTATTACGCCATTCAATCGGCAGAATGCAGCCCTTTCTGTTGCATGCTTGGCTGACCACTGACTCGTCTCCCCAGACTCACCACGTCCCGGGGTCTTTGTATCTGCTGTTGAGGGATCGCCATGGTGACAGTCAATGGCAATGGCACCATTTTCTGCATGGGGAAGAGGGACGCTTTAAGGTTTGATGCAATGCAATGTATGTTACGGTGGAACTAACCGTAGCCAAAGTAGTCTCAATAAAAGTTTAAGAGGATAGCTTGAAGGTGCCAGGTTAGATAAGCAGGACAGCCAACATGTTTATAGACGTTCCTGAGAATTCTCTGTCCCTAAATCAAATGTGATGGTCGTGCATCATTAATCAGATATTATTAAATTATTGAATTCAACTGAATTACATGTTCAATTATGAAAATGATGTAAGAATGTGTATGAAATTACTGAGTTAAACATGGATGGGTAAAGAAACTTAAAATCGATGTCAACAAAACATAAATGTCACAAATCCGAAGACATCTGACAATCGCCCAGAAAATGTAGGTTCTATAAATCAATATTTGATCTTCAGATTTTAATCTACATCATGATATAAAAGTGTATGCCACAAAATCAGGAACAAAATTACCATTTTTCACTCCTCGGCAAATTCCATCTTTCTCCCAACTGAATTTTTCTCTTAGATGTCACGTGAATTTAATTAGCATGTCCGCACGTATCTTTTTTTAGCATCCATTCCAGTCTCATATGTGAAAAAGTGATTAATGGAGTTTCCTCTGCATAAGGGTGGATAAGTATTTATCATCTGATATCCCAGCCCTTCAAAAGCTTCTTTGCTTCTTGGCTGTTACCTCAGGTTTTCCACAGAAGGTCTGCAGCACTGATGTGATGGAGGAACGAAGCAACAAGCTCTCTGGTTCACAACTCCTCAGTCGACTAATTACTGATGCCTTTGATAAAGCAAGCGCGGGGGCAATTAAGATGAGCAAGATTATTCATTGCAATCTCCGAAACCCAGTTCAGTTCTCTTATCTTAATTCAGACAATCTCCCCCCAATCTATTTTCTTGGATGTTGAGCAGTAGGCTATTGGAGTTATGTCTTTCAAACTCCGGTTTTTATGGATAAGAGGTGAAACATGGAGGATATTGATGCCGAATTGGACAGATCATGACTAGCCTCATGGTAGTTAAAAGAACACGTGACATAATGTAGCTCAGTATTTCCCAACCCGGCCCTCGGGGGCCCCCAAAACAGTCCACGTTTTTGTAGTGGGAGCTGGGAGGGAGCAAAATTGTGCACTGCCTGGGGTTTGGGAGGGTGCAAAAATGTGGACTGTATGAGGGTCCCTGGGTACCGGGTTTGGAATCACTGAGCTAGCTCAGTAGTCTAGCCTAACATACCTTAAAAAAATCACACAACAAAAAACAGGTTTCAATAGACAAGTAAAAAATTAAATTAGAACTCAAAAAACAAGCCTTGAATGTCTGAGGTCACACAGTTGTGCAACTACATTAATTTTCTTCCCACGCCAGTTGGAATAGGCTCCAAGCCCCTCCTGTGAGCCTGTGCTGGATAAATGGTTAGAAGTTAAATGGATGGATGGATTTCCCATGCAAACTCTCAGGATGCAGTTAAAAAAAGGCACAAGCCCAAAGAAAACCTACATCAGCATTCTAAGAGGTCATTCGCAATTTCAGACCTCGATTCCATATACAGCAATCCCCTTGATTTTCAAATGCAACACGTTTATGAAAAACCTTAGTAAGCTGAAAATTTATAAAGTGAAAACACAGATCCCGCTAATTTCAACAGTAATTATTTTTAACGGTCCTTAGACTCCAGTAGTAACTCTCAAAATGATATAAAAATACCAGCAAACATAGCAAGTTAGAAAAACACAATGGGAGGGAGAGAAAGCAGTGTACACTGGCAAAATGATGCCAAGAGGAAGCATTAAAGCAGTGTACACTGGCAAGACGATGCCAGGAGGAAGCATTAAAGCAGTGTACACTGGCAAGACGATGCCAGGAGGAAGCATTAAAGCAGTGTACACTGGAAAAAGGATGCCAGGAGGAAGCATTAAAGCAGTGTACACTGACAAGACGATGCCAGGAGGAAGCATTAAAGCAGTGTACACTGGCAAGACGATGCCAGGAGGAAGCATTAAAGCAGTGTACACTGGCAAGATGATGCCAGGAATAAGCATTAAAGCAGTGGTTCTCAATACTGTTCCTACCACCCCCCCTGCCAGAATATTTTCATAACAACCCTACCTAAATCAGACTCAGACTCGTTAATAGGCTAGTAAAGAAAACAGTTGGAATGAAATCACTAGGAACAGAATCACTGCAGATAAAGGCAGCATATTACAGATGGTGGGTTTGTGAAGTTCCTCCCATTAAGTCAATGAGAGGTACTGAATAAGTAAATGACACTGGGTACACAGGAGTGTCTGAAGCACTCAGAATTTCCACCCTGGGGAGAGGACCCTACAGCTGAACGTGCTTCTCATCTCCGTGAGTCCTCCATCAAGAAGATGGCCTTCATTCTTCAGAAGAGACACTAGCCTTCTGCCTTGTGTCCAGCCTGGAGCCTCTTTCCTCTTGGTGTTACTCTTTCAGTAAACAGCAGTGAAGAACGGGATACAGGCAGGAACAGACTGACAGTACATGGGGAGCAGAGCAGTCTACTCCAGTGTTTCCCAAACCAGTCCACAGGGCACACTGGGTAGATCCACGATATATTCAAGTCCCCAGAACACCTGACCCAAGCAGTCAGGAGCTCTAAATGCCTTACAGGTGTGCTGGGAACTTGGATAAAACAAAAACTGTGGATCTGTCCAGTGTGCCCTGAGGACTGGTTTGGGAAGCACTGGTCTACCCTGATCATGCCTGTAGGGTCCACCCCTGTCGTTGTTCCAGTTAAGTGTGTCACCGAGGCCTTCTCTCAAACAAAACATTTTACCATATGAATCTTTTAATTCAAACTCTGATACAAAATTTTCTCAGTTTTAGAAGCCATGATTGCATTGATAAATGAGGCACCAATGGCTACAGAAAAGTTGATTATCGACCACTGAAAAAAAACAAACCCTTACTAGCTGGATGTACAAGTCAGAGAAAAAAAAAAGTGTTGTATAAACCCAATTACTAAAGCAAATGAACTGGGTGCCCCCCCCCCTCAGGCCATGGGCAAATCTGGTTTGGACTTCAAGGCAATTCTACTTACAAATCTTGGGAATTTTACAGAACATAAAAAACCACTGGAGTTGTTGTAGGTCATTGGAACAAACTGTAAAAAAGCATGAAGTCTACCCTCAGTGTAACGGAAATGGCCGTACATGATACACAACCTTTAATTAATGTCCATAATTTATAGTTAAATTCAAATAAATAACTTATAAATAATACAAAGATAATTACAAAAGTTAAAGAAAGGGGACACGCTTAACAGAGGTCACAAAAAGCGTTCTGTCATTCAGTCCCGTCAATATTCCAAGCCAGGGCTTACTGGGCATGCAGTTACTCATAGACGTCACACACATAGACGCCGCCTTGGTCACTGATGTTCACTGGAGCGATGTGTCAATGCAGCCGCCATCTTGGAGCGAGGCAGCCACTTCAACAGCTCTGTTAGGAAAGTATTTCAGGTAAGTGTATACTGATTTTGTTACCATTTTTCACAACTATAACAGGTAATAGTAGCAGGTCAAAATGTGTGTGAAGAGACATACATTTAAACCACTACAAAACTATAAACGCTACACAGGCATCTGTTATAGGGAAGGAGCTGGCCAGGTCAACCAACCAGAGTAGTAATCCAGCTTCTGCTGCAGTTCTTCTGTTAGGATCTCTTTGTCTTTTAAATCCTGTAACAGGGTTTTCACTCTATTATGATGTCTTTTTTCACGGTCTTTGGCATTTCTTAATTCCCGTTGTAATTTCTCCAACTGTTCTTGGGCCTCTGCTATGTTATGTTTCGCTTTAGCTGGGTCAAAGGCATAATGGTGATCCTGAAAAATACACATTTAACAGTAATTTAAATCGAGTCTCCACATTTTTATAAATGTCACTGCTGTATAAGCCCAGCATCCAGCAAAGGTGTTTAAAACAAAATCATTTCACTCACTGAGATTGACTCCAGGCTGAGGTCGAGTCCTCCAAGTCCTCTGGCAGGTGGACGTGACTGTGGACGTGGACGTGACTGTGGACGTGGACGTGACTGTGGACGTGGACGTGACTGTGGACGTGGACATTCTGCAGCTGCTGACTCCTGGCTGAGGTCGAGTCCTCCATGTCCTCTGGCAGGTGGACGTGGACATTCTGCAGCTGCTGACTCCTGGCTGAGGTCGAGTCCTCCAAGTCCTCTGGCAGGTGGACGTGGACATTCTGCAGCTGCCTTTTTGTATTTTCTGCATGACCTGGACGTACTGGGCAGCTAGAGAAAATATAAACAGTTTAAGTCAATAGGAGCAAAAATGTAGTTTTATTGTTATATTTAGCGGGCATTACACACGACTAGTGAAAATTAAACGGGATTAAAAGAGACACTGTCATGACACTAACTTTGGAAAGACGGTCAGGAAATTTAAAAACGGATGGGATCGCTCCTTCCTTTAAACGGGTCGTCTGTCCAGTCCTGTCAAAATCTTCAGGTTTAAAATGACAGCTACAGATGACTGTACGGGATTGCGGCTCGAACCCCTTTCTCCTCAGTGCTGCTGTCCATGCCTGTCGCCTCACTTTGTCATTTGGGAATCTACACACGAAACAGTCCGTCTATGCTTAACACAGTAACATACAGCGATATAACGGTTTGACAAATATAACTTACTAATCTTACAGATATATTACTTTAATAAACATATTAATCCTTTGTTTCCTTTACCCGACAAAAGTTAGCTTACTTTAGCTTATTATAGGTCAATTCAGTAACTTAGCAATCGATCAGAAATCCAATATTGTAAACACCACTTCTCACCTGTGAAATGTTATTCCCTGTTGTTTAGTTTTATCGTTTCTTTGATTAGAGCATCCATAAGCAGCACAAAAGTCCGGCATCTTCCATTTGTGGTACTGGTCGGGACCCCGTCACAAGATGGCGGCGGAATTTACGCACGCTAACAAGCCCAATGATATCTATGGCAGTTACTAACGTGGCGCACTTCCGGTATCTGGAGGTTCTTTTTAAACTCCGAAAATGTCATTTTTTATGTTCCCGCTGACCACACGAAAACTGCTGCTTTGAGACATGTTTTATGTGTATGAAAACTATGATCCCTCTTTTAATACTGACCGGCCTTAACACGTTCCTGCTGCTTTCCGGGTCTCTTTATTTTGGTTCGATCACAATTACATTCCCCTAAGAAACCGCTCCCACCAACCAAGGTTCTACTTTTTAGGAATGGGTTTGTTCATCTTAATAGGCGGGCTAGGTACCCTGGCAGTATTCCTTATTGCCACAGTGAACACACATTTTATGGTTTAATATGCAATACCCTTTTGAGAAATCTACAATCGAGAAGACACCATGATGATACAATTTGTTTGTATAAAGAGATACCAAGAGGGTTCCTGCTAGAATAATACAACTATCCCAGCACAGCATTAAATTAACCAAGTGTGGTCTAGCTAGGTGAAGTAATAACTGTTGCGAGCTAATCATTGCTCCTGCAAAAATGCTTGTGAACGTTTCCTCTAGCTCACTCAGCAGGAGGTAGTACTGCCATTATCTCACGCTGAGCTCTGCTTAGACTGAGGATCAAGAACTTGGATAGCCTGGGATAAAAGGGAATAGTTTAAAAAAACTCTCAAGCTTTCTGCATCAAAGTAAAAATGTATTTGTTAACATATAAAATTGGTGTAGATTTCCCGCCTTAAGTTAGAAATAACATTTAGACTTCTTATTCCCATTATTGGTAAGGAGACCAATGTCTTCTTTTATGCAAAACAAAATCGCCTCATATATTAAATATGAATCTTTCAGAGGCTCGTTTAGACTCCATGGATATTACAGGGCTCTATGAAGTTTCCACCAACTCCATTTTCAGTTTTGAGTTAAGTGTTATTCCTTGTGCTGTTTCAAATATGATGTAGTTCTATACTTTAGAGTCTGTATATTAGTTTTGTTCTAGACGTAGCTTAAAAGCAAGGAGTATGTAAAATCTTTTTTTTTCCAATCAAAATTTTATGCTGTATTGTGTATTTTTTTTAAAAAAGGTTAACTATTTGTATAGTGATTATATTTTTATTCTAAACATACGTATCAGATTAATTGGTTTCTTGCTGAGTAAAAACAAACCAAAACGTCCAGGTCAACATCATTTAATCGTAATCGCAGTTTTAAAGGCTGATATATTTCAAAATGCGTTTTAAAGTGTAAATGGTCTGTTGATTAAATGAACAGTAAAGAATGCAGTTACTTCCTTCTGAACGCAGCACCCTTTCGTAATACAACCTAGTTAAAGCCTCCCAACCAACCGCATACAGACTCTATGTGACGTCACAGTATAAGTATACACTGCTTTGGTAAACCTATTCGTTCCAGCCCCGGCTCTTCTCGTCAGGTAGGGCCTCTTTGCTTTTGGCAATGGTATGGTGGAAAGAAACTTTTAGAGTCCCTTGCGCAGTTTAATATTTTATTTATATCTTGAAATTGAATAATTATAAAAGAAGTCAGGTGGGCTTTGCAGTAAAATGAAAGATTAATCATTTGTATCCAGAGGCAAAATATCCATACATTTGCAATGCATCCATGATCTTAATGATGATGTAGTGACAATGATGATTTATTTATTAATGATGATATATCAATCATATTTGCATGATGGTGTTTAACATGTAAATTTAATTGGCTGGCTTGTTGGAGAGGAGGATATCTACCAAAATAGTACACATGGAGAGGAGGCGTAGTGGGGGTCTCGTAGGTGAGAGCTAACCAGGTGAGATGTGGATTTATGGGGTCCATCAGAGTGTTGAGATGATTGGAAGTTGTCCTCTATGTCAGAGGGACAGATGAAACAGCCCCCCCCCCATATTCCATGTGAAACCTGCAACCATGCTTTAAAGTTCTTGGTGCAAAACCAACGTTCATCATGCATGGTTGATGCACCTTGACCGCCAAACAACCACTCTTTAGGATGAAGCTGCTTGGTCATAGGCACCAGCCCAAAGCTCAACATGTTCTGGACCAGCACAGGAGAAAGCAGAGGGTCCATTCTGCCCAGAGAGACATCTCCCCAGTGCCCTCTTCCTACTCGGAACCCGTCTCCCTGAGGCAGCGGAAGGTACTGAAGAAGAATCGCTTTAAGATATGGACCGTGACCCATGACTGCAGCTTGTCCTCGTACAGTGATGGTTATGCTGTAATAATTAATAGGACTTTAATCCTCTGAGTCTCGATTTATTTGACAGGGATGTTTCAAGCAGCAAAAGGTTACCCGGACATGCTGTATAAAGTGTGTCTTTTAGCTGATTTTCCCTGATTTTAAAACCATGTATGATAACCCAGGCATCATATGAGAGCAATTTTCAACAAAAAATGTTAATATTTCTGTGGGTTGGTCAGCAATTAACATACACTATGAGTCTTTTGAGATTCATTGCAAGTAGAGCTTTAAGATATGGAACATGACTGTGTTGCTTAACAAAAGAATATGGAATAGGTGCCGTGTTTGTCCCTCACTTCCGGTTTGTCTTGCGGCTGTGACCTTAACTCTGCCCATGTGCTGCCCAGGGTGTGACTGGTGAGTTGCCATGGCAACGTGGGTGTGGCATCTGGGAGGATGAGGATGAGACGCAGAGTGTGAAGAGCGTGCAGTGCGGGAGAAGGGTCAAGCGGCCACGGGGATTTGCCAAAGCCACGGACCTTAAACTACCGCCGGTCTCCGTTGATGGCAGTAAAGTCCGGTAAGTCATCAGAACTGTTGTTTTATGTGTTATGTCTGCTGTCTTATTCATCTGCCCGTACAATGAAGGCTACTCTGTAATAACGTATCAAGTGTTGGTGGAGCAGTGGTTAGCATAGCTGCCAACTAAGCAAAGGAGCAGCATTCGATTCCCAGCAGAGGTGGACATTTCTAGTGCACAAAATACAAATCTAGACCATGGTTTTGTTTCAACTTAGCAGTTGAGTATAAAGAGATACTGTCACAGAGTACTCAGCTGTTTGGTTGAAACAAAATCTTAGTCTGGATTTTTACTTTATGGACCTGAAATTGTCCACCTCTGCTTTCCAGGCAGTACAGCCTGTCCCGTAAACATTTGTGTGCCAGCTGGTACTTATTTTATGCTCCTGTAGCTCGACAAGTAGCGCTAACAATGCAGGGATCTTCTGTATCCCAGCTGTGTGCTAACAAGGCGAGAATTGTGGGTTCAAATCACAGAGAGCACAAATAAATTGTAACCCTTCATTCTAGTGTATTTAAGTGAGTTTGGATTAAAGTGTCAGATGTAAATGAGTAAAATTGTCAGTGGTTTTGCTTGTGGACGTCGGCTCTACAGTCTCTCTTGTTTTTCTGGGCTATCTGTGGTCCCTCCAGCTGCATTTCGCATCCTGTATCTTTCAGGTGCAGTTTGATGGTACGGGGATCCAGCTACCCCCATGGGTGTGCATTCCCTCCCATATGCCAGCCCAGGACCGCTCGGACCCGAGGCCTGGAGAGACCGCCGTCTCGGGCTGGGAAGAGGTACGGCAGCAGCCTGCCTCTCGCAGGAAAGCAGCGGCCTGCCTCCCGCAGGAAAGCAGCGGCCTGCCTCTCACAGGAAAGCAGCGACCTGCCTCTCATAGAAAAGCAGCGGCCTGCCTCTCATAGGAAAGCAGCTGCCTGCCTCTCGCAAGAAAGCAGTGGCCTGCCTCTCATAGGAAAGCAGCGGCCTGCCTCTCATAGGAAAGCAGCAGCCTGCCTCTCACAGGAAAGCAGCGGCCTGCCTCTCACAGGAAAGCAGTGGCCTGCCTCTCACAGGAAAGCAGCGGCCTGCCTCTCACAGGAAAGCAGCGGCCTCCTTCTCATCTCAGTTAACACTGAGGAGGTGGTCCATTTAATGCCAGGCATTTAAGTGCCAATATCCCAGCTCAGACGCAAGCGGCCTCCTTCGGCACTCGTTACTGATTTAAAGGCTGGTTAGTCTCACTGAAACACAGAGCAGTACAGCGCTAACTAGCCACGCAACGTAGCGCTAACAGCAGTACCTGGACCTTCATGGGCCAGTTTTACTGCATTAAGTATAGCCTGTAAATGTCACAGGTTTTTCTATATTGATTGGATTACAGGAAGATTATTGGTTAGGTTGATTAGTTTTCATTCCAAATCATGTCTGTCATGTCCTAATAACCATAACATTTAAATATTCATTGTATTTGGGGGAGTCACACGTTCAGTAATCTGATCGACTCAGGAGCTGCACTCAATAGTTATCACTTTACTCGTTCTCTGGTCGTATTTTACATTTCTGGCAAAAATATCAGTGCCACCTACAGAGTATTTCAAAACCACACTCATTTTACGACAAATGCAAAACAGTATCTGTACACTCCTTTTAGTCAGGCTGATATGTTTAATTGTGTAACAATGTAGCAGATTTATTAGTATTTATTCATAACAAAAGTCCATTAACATGCAATGTTTATCATATCTAAACATATCTTCTGCACACATTTTCTATTTATTAAGTGTCATAATTTTTGACTGACTCATTCAGTTCTGCAGTTGGGTCCCAAAGGGATACTAAACACAAATGTTAGGTGTTTTATGTTATAGCAAAGATGTCACCTATTAAAAAGCACCGAATGAGGCTGCTTGTCAATGAACTTTTTAACTTTAGAACTATTTGGGTTTCAATTTATTACTACTTGAAATAAAATTGATGACTGCTGTCATCTTGCCTTCTGTGATGAGCTTTTGCTCTTGGTTGTTGTGTCCTACAGAGGGGTGGAGAGGCTTTGTGAGGTGGAGGACTGCAGCAGAAATGCTGACCCCAGTCACATGACTACAGAGAACCTCCACATCCATCCACCTGCCTCCACCTGTGTCCCGGCTAAAGAGCAGGGCAGGATAGAGGACCGCACCCCAGCGGCGGGTGAAGTATCCTTGGGGCTGGGGATCTACATCCCCAGAGGCCCTGCTGGAGGGAGAGACCTTCTCCCCCGGAAGCCCCAAGGCTGGAAGGAGCTCTGGCAAGTAATGGTGCCCCAGAAGGAAGGTATGCGCTCTCCCTCCAGGCTGCAGCAGCATGGCGGCCAGGAGTTTGCTCTCCGGCCGCGTGGCAGAGGGGAGCCACAGGACAGCATCCTGACCCCAAACCCTGGGCACGGGCCCCACGTGCGGAGACCACCCTGTCGCTGTAACAGTCCTGCCACCTCTCACCTCCTTCAGCTGCCTGGCTCGTCGTTCCCTTCAGTGCCAGCACGTTGCTTGGCAACCCGCACTGTGGAGCTGGCCAGCTCCAATGGGGGGTTGCTGCCCAAAATCACCATGACCTGCCCCACCCCTAAAATTCTCCCCTAAACTCCACCACTAAAGTACTTCCCTAAACCTCCTGAATTATTCTTTATCTCTTTTTCAGGCCTGTACCTCCAAATCTGTCCTTTAATCCCCAGCCCTATTCTCCAGTCTATTACAATATTTATTAAACCTAACTCTTAAACATTTCTAAATCCCAACTACTAAACCTCACTCACAAATCCCCTGGCTGAGATATACCCAGAACTGAAGTTTTCACTAAGGCTCCGTGATTAATGTTTCAGATCAGACTCGTTATACTTTCATAGACAACTGCATACTTTTGGAGCACTCTGGACATTTTCTTAAATGATCTTAATCAAGCTATGAAAAATACCTGACTTTAATACACAATGTAATATTAACTGACGTGTGAGAATGTTCATTCTCACAAAAATTGACACTTTCCAATGTTTACATTTCGGCGATGACAGAGGTTCATTAACCTGCCTAATGAATTCTTTTTTGCATACCATGTGTCATTAAAGAGCTACATTTTTCACTGCTCCATGCATCTCTGCTCATTACTGCATCTTGTGAAAAGCTTTGGAGGTAACGCTACACAGTGATGAATAAGTCTTGCACTAGGTCATGTGACCAACATTAACCTTCATGCAGACACTGCTTACATTGTGGCAGATGATTCCTAGGGTGGGTTTCAGACACACTGTTTGAGGGGAATGGGCTTCTGCGGGCTCCAGATTGTGTTTTGTTGGCTTTCTCCTCAACAAAAGCCAATAACAGGACCTGAGGCCAGGTGTTCTGCTCTGGTGGTTCAGCCAGTCAATGGCTCTTGGTCCCCTACTGTGAGACTGCATTCCTCACATTCTTGGGACGGTGATGGTCGAGCATTAGGACCTTGTAATTGCACCTCTGTGCCCTCCCTAAACAGGCCCTTGCTGCTATTTCAGTGAACACCCTACATAAGGTGGTTATGGATTATATTTTAACTTGAAACTGTTTATAGATGACATATAAAGTATTCTGCTGTCATTGCCGCAGACAGTTAGGTTAATGAATGTTTCAGGAGTGCCTCAGGCTGAGTATATCCATCTTTTGGGTCTGCAGAATTTCTGCTCAGATATTTACAGTTCACAGGATAATGTGAACTTAATTCTGTTGAAGATATATCTGTGAAGGTATTTCTGTAACCATCCATCTTCTGCTTATCCAGGCTTGGGTCATGGGGGGACTGGCAGCACATGGCTGTTGTCTAGAAATTTCAGGTCCAGATAGTTGAAATCCAGACCAAGATTTTGTTTCAAGAAACAGTTGAGTGTAAATAATCACAGTCACAAAGTACTCAGCTAGGTGGTTGAAACAAAATCTTGGTCTGGATTTTCACTTGCTGGACCTGAAATTTCTGTAACCCCTCCATCCAGGATATGCAAGTCCTGTTCAGGGTCGGGGGGTCCGGAGCCAATCCCAGAGGCTACAGATACAAGACAAGGATAAAACCCAGGATGGAGCGCCAACCCATCACAGGGCACACGCACACACCATTCACTCACACAGGCAGACCTACAGGCAGCTTAGCAACCCCAATTAACCTCAGCATGTCTTTGAACCGTGGGGGGGAATCTGGAGTACCCAGGGGAAACCCAGCAATGACACGGTGAGAATACGCAAACTCCACATATATGGAGCCATGGCAGAGACTCGAACCCTGGCAACAGTGCTACTCACTGCAGCAGCATGCCACTCCATTTCTGTAACCTACTCTTAGAATTTGGATTCTTTTAAGCTTGTTAGGTGTGGGTTTGTCAGACCTCCATTAGAGGGAGCTCTTGGCCTTTTTTAGGGGGTGATCAAACCTATTTCTATTATCAGTATTTGATTACTGATAAGCATTCTTACAAGAACCCTTGGGAGCTGAATGCCAATTATGCATGACAGCTAAGGTACAAACAGTGGGTGACTTTTATTTCAATAGATAGATAGATGGGCAGACAAACAGATGATAGATAGATAGATAGATAGATAGATAGATAGATAGATAGATAGATAGATAGATAGANGATAGATAGATAGATAGATAGATAGATAGATAGATAGATAGATAGATAGATAGATAGATAGATAGATAGATAGATAGATAGATAGATAGATAGACGGATGGATGGATGGATGGATGGATGGATGGATGGATTGATGGATGTGATTTATTGATTCCAAGCAGGAAGTTCTGGTGCCATAGAAACACATAGAAATGCATGCAAGAACAATACAGACATAATAAAAATACAGGCACTGACTCAGAATCCAGTCCAGTTACAGTTGGCGGGGGGGCCTCCTGAGAAGAGGCATTATACAGTCTTATGACTGCTGGCAGAAAGGAGCCCCAGCAGGGTGTCTGCACATCAGGCTGGGATGAGTCAATGGCTAAACTGCTTATTAGCTTCCGTAGAACATGTCACCTTTGACCCTTGAACCCGTGACCTTTTCCTGCCTCCATTAAACACGGGGAATCTCCACATCCATTCTCCCCAAAGCTTGCTTTCACTTGGCTTTTCGTTCTGGTTTAATCTGGCATATTTCTTCTTTAAAAATTCTATTCAAAGCTACATGTTTTTCACACCTAGTAGATTTGCAGTGCACTATCTGCAGTGGTCTTCCCTGATTGTTATTGTGGGGCTCACTGCCATATCTATGTATATCTGTTGTGTACTTGGGTTGCAGTAATTATCGTTTTGCATGCTTGACTAGTTTTGCCCCTAGTTTCCTAAATCTTCAAAACACATTCAGAGGTTTAAAATATATTTTTATTGAGCCAGCAAACAAGTGAAGCATATCTTCTCCCAAGCCTGACTAGCTGTCTGGGCCAGTAAGCTATTTTGGTTGGATCCGAGAATGCAGGTATTTTTTTCTTTTTTTTCAGAGGGTTTAAGCTCCTAATAACCTGTGTGGGTGATGTCATGCCCGGTGGCTTCCCTGCCTGCCCACACATCCTACAGGCACGCTCACTTCTCCACATGGGAGGCCCTTTTATTTGTCTCTGAGAGTCAAGCCGTTCATACACTGCATGCCGGTGCAATATCTTCTGTCACTGCGCCCCAGGCAGCTATGCAGCCAGGCTCTATCAGGAAACCATTCTGCTGACTGACATCGCAGCCGGTGCTACGCCACATGACACCTAACGGGTGCTGCTAAGGACACCTGGGCCTTTAACTCCCCTACCAGCAAGTCCTTTGGTTCTTCAAACTTCCCCTTCACCTGTCAGCTGGCCCATCTGTTGATAGAGATAAGCAGCATGACAAGGGTAAGAAAGAGCAAATCGGGCTGTCGGTTCTGGGCTCGGATGCTGGGGTCTTGGACCACAAGCAGGTGCTTTTAGAAGGTCTAGTCACAATAGGATATTTGGGCTTGTAAAATCTTATACAAGGATTTGCATTGGTGCAAATTAATGTTTAATCTGCTAAATGCTATGTGATTCTTCAAGACTTAGTGTTATTTTGAGGTGATTCTTTGTCAGCTCACCTGGCTGCAGAGATGGGGCATGTGCTCGTGTGTGAAGGCTGCGTGGGTTAGCAGGACTGCAAGCTTCAGTGTCTCCCCTGCCTTTCTGCATGTGCGTTACACAATCCGGTGCTATACTCATCCAGACAGTCTACAATGCCTGATCATCTGTTCGTCTGCGTTTTTTCCAGCTCCCTGTCTGTCTCCTGATTTCTCTCATCTTCCCAGGACATAGGCGGTGCAGTTGGCCCACAACTCAATGAGGAAAAGCAAAAAAAAAGGAGTTAATGAAGAAGTCATCCTTGATGCAGCTGGACTGGACTCTGGATCAAGCCCGAAGAGGTAAACCAGAGAGCCCAGTGAGGTCAGCATGGGACACCTCCAAGATCTGGGGTCCCTAGGGATTTATCAGAACACCCCCTTGAGGGAGAAGTCCAGAGGTGGGCACTGACATACGCCATTCAGCACTGACCTCACAGATTCACACACCCCCACTGCAGTAGAGCAAGAACCCCTTAAATAGATTATCAGACGGAATGTAGCTATTCGTCTCATTGGGTGTATCACTAACTCATAACCTCACAATGACGTAGTGCAACATCAACTCATAATCCTAAATTTCTTTCGAATAATCACATCTGTGTACAGTCCAAGACACAAACTAGCTCCTTTCATACTTATCTGCTGCTGGCGGCTGGAATGAGGCTAAGTAGCCCATGGGATTACTGTCTCCTTATGCCAACTGGTGCAACGTTCTGCATGTCCTTCATAATCCACTCTTGGGGACGTCTTTTCTCATGCAAAGGCCAAGCTGGAACCCTGCCTGGTGCGCTGGCTCCTGAGTAAACCACAGGCTCCCCGTGACTGCATGCTGGATAAACAGTTACGGTTGGATGGATGGAGATATTGGCAAGAGGTCGAATAAAACCTTAAAGGCCAGGGGGGAATGTAGCAAAACAGACGTGGACGGGATACGAATGATAAACAATAAATCCTTTATTTGTTGAGTATGGGTACATTGGAATTCCTCTCTTCACCATCCCCATCTTGCTCTCCATAGTTGGGAGGTCACACCGCAGGGACAGCCAATGTGCAGCCCCCCTGCAGCTAGGGGTTAAGGGTCTTGCTGAAGGGCCCACAGACATGTGGCGAGGCCTGGGCTTTGAACTGGTGACCTTCTGATCACGGGCAGAGAAACCAGAGCCACCCCAGGACAGGAATCTGTAGCATCAGGGGTCCTGTGGTCATAATCCAATTCTTTGAGATGACTGTAGTATACACTGTGTGCAGAATAATTAGGCAAGTACTGGAGATCATTTTTAGCAAAAGTTGGGCAGACTTATAAAAATGAATTCAGAAGCTTTTTAAATTTATTTAGAGAGAAAATATTACTTTTGACTTTCGCAAACAAAAATAAAAGAAAAACGCTTGGTTATCAGTGGGCAGAATTATTAGGCAATCAAAAAGTAGGATTTTCTCACTTCACCATCAACAGAAATAATAATAAGAAACAATTTTTGTTATTCAGTATATATAAGGAATAACAAGCTATCAGCCATTCTATACAGCCCATTTCACCCAGTTTAATGTCCAGTATAGCCAACTTTCTTCTCAATGACCACCATGAGCCTGATGCCCACTGGACCAATCAGGTTTTTGATTTGATCCTGTCCTATATTAGCTGAACCAGCTAGGACCACTATCTAGAGGCTGCTCTGAGAAGGGTACTGCTTGCTACGTTGGTAAAGCTCACACTTTGGTAAGGCCAAGTAGTTCTCAATAGGGTTGAGTCAGGCGATGAAGGGGGGCCGTTCATAATTCAATCACGTTTCAAGCCTTTCTAGGCCAATCTATGAAATACTTTGATGGACAGGGAGGGGCATTGTCTTGCAGGAATACCATAACCTTTTAGAAAGCTGCTGACTTCTCCTTGTGCCAGTGTTTGAAGAAGGTATCTTCTAGAAATTGGCAGCAGACCTTGTGGTTATTTTTTTACACAATCTGCAAATCAGAAAGGTATGACAAGTTCATCACTGATAATTGCAG